GAAACCTCCAAAAAAATTACAAATTTAAAAATCGCTAATTTTCGAAAATTTTTCAATTTTTTTTACTAAAAACTGCCATAACTTTTTTAAAAATTAACATATCAATATAATTTTTTTTTTCATAGACGTTTGATATCTTTACCTATTATTTGGTATATTTTTTTTGTAAATTTGACCTTTTTTCTGCCCACAGGGGGGGATTTAAAATGACAACTTTTTCACAAAAAATTAACTTTTTCAACTTAACTTTTGAAAATGTTCCGGAATATCTGACACTTTTATATATATCTAAATTAAAGTTAATGTAATGTACTTTAATTTGAAAAAAAAAAAATTGACCTCTGGACTTGTCTTCGTGGTGATAGTTGACATCAAAGTTAATAAAAAATTACGATTTTTGTAAAATAATTTTTTTTTATATTTTTAACTTAATAATGCTCTAACTTTTTCAAAAATGAACATATCAATATAAATTTTTTTTATATAGATGCTTGATGTCTTTACTTATCATTTGGTATATTTTTTTGTAAATCTGCCACTTAACCTGCCCACAGGGGGGCATTTAAAATGACAACTTTTTCACAAAAAATTTACTTTTTCAACATAACTTTTGAAAATGTTCTGGAACATTTTCATTCTGTTTTGAAAAAAAAAAAATATGACCTCTGTACTTTTCTTCACGGCAAAAATGGCTACCGAATGCTATTTTCGTGTGAAAATTCTCGATTTTATTATTCATATTATATTTAACTTTATAATGCTATAACTTATTGAAAAGTTTATGGATCCACACAATTTTTTTATGAGAAATAATATTTTTTAATAAACCCTTTTTCATTCGACATACTTTATCTTAATCGAGATATTAATAAGGAACCAGCAGATCAAGTAGCTTTTGGAATAAAACACCAATTTTTTTAAAATTAAACACTATCTAAAGATTTGCATCGAAGCGTTTATTTTTNCACATTTTTTAAAATTAAACACAATCTAAAGATTTGCATCGAAGCGTTTATTTTTGATAGTGATTTTAATCACTGTCAGATATCATTATACTTGATCCAACTATACCACGTCACAACTGTGCCGCGACCCCCCCGTGCTGGGTTTTTTTTATTTATATTTTGCCAAGACTTTTAAAATTTATTGAATATAGGAACATCTGGTGCAGATGATGAATTAAATTAAATTTGATTTCAAAACACGTTTTAATACAATTCCAAAAATATGATATCTACACGGTAAATACAAAATATTTCGTCTCAACATTTGATCCAATAATATGCAGGTACCTTTAAGTCTACCTGTATTAGAAGCTGTTATATTACAACATAATGATTTTACTTTTTCAGTTAAACCACATTTTTCAATTGCTGTAAAGACAGCTGCTGCTTGACGTTCCCCCGAACCAGAAGAAATCTCACGCACATCGAGTAGTTGTTCTACATTATTATATGACACAATTATTGGTAACCTTTCAACTAGTTGTTTTCCTGATAATGAAGGAAGAAGTTTTCCATCCCAATGAATAATACATGGAACTACTTGAGTAATATCAAAATTACTGTATATTTTTTTCACTCTATTTTCATGAAAACGTTTTCGAAAATTATTAATTGCAGTCTTATTTATAATTAATTCAGATATAATTAATTTAGATAGAGTTTAATTTTAAAAAATTGGTGGATTATTCCAAAAGCTACATGATCTCCTAGTTCATTATTAATATCCTAATTAAGATAAAGTATGTCGAATGAAAAAGGGATTATTAAACAATATTATTTCTCATAAAAAATAATGTTGATCCATACACTTTTCAATATGTCATAGCATTATAAAGTTAAAAATGTAAAAATAAAATCGAGAATTTTCACATAATAATAGCATTTGGTAGCCATTTTACCGTGAAGATAAAATATAGTCCGAAATTTTTTTTTCGCATACTAAAGTAGATTACATTAACTTTAATTTAAGATATAAATAAAAGTGTCAGACTTTCCGGAACAATTTCAAAATTTAAGTTGAAAAAGTAATTTTTTTGTGAAATAGTTGTCATTTTAAATCCCCCCCTGTGGGCAGGTAAAGGGTCAGATATAAAAAAAATTATATTGATCCATTCATATTTCAAAAAGTTATAGCATTATAAAGTTAAAAATATAAAAAAGAATTTTTTTACAAAAATCGTAATTTTTTTATTAAGTTTAATGTCTGTTTTCACCATGAAGATAAAATAAAGTCCGAAATTTTTTTTTACTATTATAAAGTATATTACATTAGCTTTAATTTAAGATATATATAAAAGTGTCAGACCTTCCGGAACACTTTCAAAAGTTAAGTTGAAAAAGTTATACTTTCTATATGCATTTTTATGTTTTTAATCCCCCCTGTATTAAGGGAAATGGTCCGATTTAAAAAAAAAGTAAGTCGAATGAAAGATATATATGAATACTACTTCTCATAAAAAAATTGTACTGATCCATACATTTTTCAAAAAGTTATAGCATAATAAAGTTAAAAATGTAAAATACAAAATCGAAAATTTTCACACAATAATAGCATTTGGTAGCCATTTTCATCGTGAAGACAAAATAAAGTCCGAAATTTGTTTTTTACATAATAAAGTAGATTACATTAGCTTTAATTTAATATATATATAAAAGTGTCAGACCTTCCGGAACACTTTAAAAATTTAAGTTAAAAAAATTAATTTTTTGTAAAAAAGTTGTCATTTTAAATCCCCCCTTGTGGGCAGGTTAAGGGTTAAATTTATGAAAAAAATATACCAAATGAAAGGTAATGATATCAAACGTCTATGAAAAAAAAAATTATATTGATATGTTAATTTTTAAAAAAGTTATGGCACTTTTAAGTAAAAAAAATTGATGTATTTTAACTAATTATCTCTGTACTCTATGCCCACAGGGCGTTTATTAAATAAATATTGTAAATATTAATGTTATAAATATTAATATTATAAAACATTTTGAAAATTAGCGATTTTTAAATTTGTAATTTTTTTGGAGGTTTCCCCCATTTACGGGGAACGAGGGAATTTTTTTCAATTTTTAAGGGTAATGTCTTCGACTAGATACGATTTGTGATCTTTTGACGTATCATTGAAAGAAATCGGTTCGGTGAGAGCTGAGAAAAAGTGGTAACAGACACAAAAAAAAAAAAA